TTGTTGTGGTTTTTTAAAACTTTAGAGCAAATTCAAATAGTTATATATACAAATATATATAGATATAACATATATATTAATATATATATTTTATTAATATATAAATCTAGAAAATTCAATTTTTTTTTAATACATACATACATACATAGCCAAGGCTTTGTCTTCCCCAGTCTTAAAAACTTCCAAAAATAAAAGATTCCAGAAATGTAAATATCATATATTTTGATATGGTATACACATGCACACACACACACACACAGAAAGAGTTGGTTTGTATTAGCCAGCTATATACATCTAGCAAATGCCTCTGTGTGTGTGTGTGTGTGTGTGTATGTGTGTGTGTGTGTAATAAAATATTAATATGTGAATAATTATCCATATATATATTTAAAATCTAGCAAATGCCAATAGTTTATTTATATATTTAACTATGTATATAAATAACATATTGCCAATTATATATGAGGTATACAAATCTAGCAAATTTCAATAGATGTAACTATAAATAGGTAGATAAATCTAATATATAGTAATATATTATTAATTTTGCGTATGTAATGCACTGTCTATACATATATAAATGAATATATCCATAATTTAAGACAATTCCAATAGTTGTATTTGCATACTGCCAGCCCCCTACCATATTAGTAAAGCATCTACTTCAGGGGTGGGCAATTATTTTGGGCAGAGGGCCACTTACTGAGTTTTGGCAAGACATTGAGGGCCGCATGACAGGCAGCCATGAGCAGATAAATTTCCTAAAATTTTTAGGGGCCCTGTGGGCTGGAGAGAATGGTCTGGAGGGCCGCATCCGGTCCCCAGGCCGCATTTTGCCCACCCTGATCTAGCTTCTCCTTAACTGGACAAAAGCTATGTGCTGTGTCACATGGGTCAATGTGCCACACCATCTGTACCCGCCCCCTCTTTTCAAAACCCTAGATGTGCCCATGGACCCACCTCATGCTGGCATTGCTTATCCATGCAATGCCTCCGCTCCAGAGAGGGGGAGATGCCGCTTTTTTCCGTGCCCAGAGGAAATACCCATTTCTTGGAGGAAACTCCAACTCTACAGACCCATCCCACCCCACCCCACGGTCCCCAAACCTTAGGGTGGGTGGAGCAAGACTGGAGGAAATTTCCTGCCTAATGGGGCCTTGGCAAATCTCCATCTGGCCAGATGGGTGGGGAAAACAGGGTGACTGGGTCTGGAGAAGACTGAGGAGGGTAAAGATTTGATCACAGTCTTTACCCTTTAAACCCCTAATGCAGGGGTCTACAGAAGATGGAGACAGACAACTCTCTGTGGCTACAAGGGCTGAGATGGCAGCAGGGGAAACTGAGGCTGGGGATGGGAAAGGACTTTCTGGCTTGGTGTGGGACAGACTGCCCAAAGAGGTGCAAGTCTCCATCCTTAGACACAGCTAGGCTGGACTTGGTGTGCCACTGCCTCAACCAGATTGGATAAAACACCCTCCCCTCCCCTCCCTCCACTCTATGCTGGCTGGGGAGCCAGGACACCTGGGTTCTCTGCCTAGCTGCCACCTACCAGTACAGCACTTCGTCCCCACACTCCACGTCAAAGCGGAAGTGGGAGAAGGCGACAGGGACGGAGCTCTTCTCCCAGGCAATGAGGTACCAGGCACGGTCATCCGTAAGCTCCTCCCGCTTCTCCCGGTCCTTCCAGCCCCACTCGCTCTGCTCGTACCTGTGTAAGGTGGAGGGGGCTGCTCAGGGAAAGCCATGAGTTCCCAGGCTGCAAACCCAAGGGGGAGGGGTCTGGAGGGGACCACTCACTCAGACCTCCTGGATAATGCAGGCCCCATGCCCACACCTTTGCCCTCTGAACCTCCAAATGATCCAAGGCCAAACAGACCACCAATCTGACCCAGCAGGGCACTGCCAACGTCATGGGAGGGGGCACAAATTAGACCCACCCACCCCCTAAGAGCCACAAGGATCCCCTTCCTGTCTGATGAGCTGCTCTGCTCTCTACTCGCTGCCTATCTGCTTCTGTGCTCCCTGTCTGATCCATTGCTCTGCTCTCTACTTGCTGCCTAATTGGCTTCTCTGAACTCTGCTTAATTGGACACAGCTCTCTAGCCTACCTTCTGTGCTCCCTGCCCAATCTGTTGCTCTGGTCTCTACTTCCTGCCTTACCTGCTGCTGTGCTCTCCATGCAATCTGCTGCTCTATCTGCTGCTGTGCTCCCTGCTCCCAATCTACTCTGTGCCCTATCTGCTGCTCTGTTTCTTGCCTGATCTGCTGCTCTGCTCTCCGCTGCCCGATTTGCTGCTGTGCCCCCTGCCCAATCCATAGCCCCACTCTACTCGCTGACCTATCTGCCCTTGGGCTCCCTATCTGATCTTCTGCTCTGCTCTTTGCTGCAAGTTAGTCATTCCTGGCCTACGTACTCATGTACCCACAACCCAGGCCAGAGGCTGAGGCTTGACCTGGGGAACATCAGGGCAGAGTAAAGGAGATGGAGCCCTCGCCCCCTAGTTCTCCCTTGTGTCCATTGTTGACATGCTTTCCTGGCAGAGCAGGACAGGACTCTGCACGGTTCCTCCCACAGGGAACCCTGCCCCCCACTCCAATTCCCCTGCTGGTCGCTCCCCTGGCCCAAACTCACAGGGTTTGCATGTTGGTTTTGGTCAGCTCGAAAGCCCAGTCAACGGTTGCCTGGTCCAGGCCTGAGACTTTCTTGCACTCGATGGAGACATTGAGGCTGTGGGGGCAGAGGGCAAAGACATCAGTGGGAAGCAGCAATCAGAGCTAGAAGCACAGGGACTGACCTGACCCCATACTCTTGCCCCATCAGCTGCTCTGCTTTCTGTTCTCTGCCCTGTGCCTCATGCCCCATCCACTACTCTACTTTCTGCTCCCTGACCTGCATCCCCTGTCCCATTGACATCTGCACCCTGGGGGAGAATCACTGTGCTAAATACTTCCTCTTCCTGACCCACTCATTATCTTTCGGGGTTGCTGTATGAGGCATATTATGTTACCCCTGTAATAAGGTCTTATGGTAGCAGTTGACCAGACCCCCCCGCAAAAACGAGGTGCCAGAGACTTATTGTGAGTGACAGCAGCTGTTCAGCTTAGAGAGACCAGAGCAGCGACATCATAGCAAATGACTGGGATTGGAAACCCAGGTGTCCTGAGCAGGGGTGGATCTGCAGGGGGGAGAGGGAGGAGTAGTACAGTGGCATGGCCGCAAACCCCCACCTTTCCCACCATGCCTCTGGAGTAGCAGCCAGCCATTTGCGTCTCAAAGGAAGCAAATATTTCCTCCCATCCTTCCCTCCATGCTCCTTCTCCTCCCATTACCCCTTCCCTGCCTGCCACTGCAGGGCAGCTCCTGCCTGTCCCAGCTGATCCACACAGGGGACTGTGCTCATGCTCAGCCCTGTCCCCACTCCCTGTCTGCTTCCTCCAAGCAGGGACAGATACGGGGCACAGGGGTGCCTTGATGGACTTGCCCCCACCCTTTCATTCCTGGTCCCCCAAACTTTAAAACCAACTGTCTGGCAGTGGCAGCAACACTTCTATCCAGACAGCAATGAGAGAATCAGCTGACATCATAGTTTAATGGTTAGTAGGGTCAGAAGGGACCTGAGCAGATCATTAAGTCTGACCTTCTGCCATGGGCAGGAAAGGATGCTGCGGTCAAACGACCCTGGCAAGGTGTCTATCTAGCCTCCTTTTAAAGACCCCCAGGGTAGGAGCCAGCACCACTTCCCTTGGAAGTTAGTTCCAGATCCTAGCCACCCTGACTGTGAAGTGGTGCCTCCTGATATCTAGCCTGAATCTACTCTCAGTCAATTTATGGCCGTTATTACTGGTAACGATCATGTTACAATCCACCGAATTCCTCCTAATTCCTTCACCCCACAGGAGTTAACAACCCCCTCTCCTATGATCTGGATCTTCCACCCATCAAGCTACCCTTTGTTCTGCAGCTCTGCTGTCTGCAAGCTGCTCCTGGTCATGCAGCTCCTAGTTCGCAGCCCTGCAGTGTGTTCTGAACTTATTCCGATGACGTCCTATTTGTTTCTGCTTCCATCTTCAACCGAATGATACAGCCCTAGGCCCCTAGCATGTCAATAAAGCTTCTACTTCATTTTCAGTTGGAGAAAAAAAAAGAAGTTGTTTCAGATGTGACGATGGGCCTCACCATCCTTTAGCCCCCAGCTCATGCCCCTGGGTGTTCCCTACTAACCCAGGAGGGGGAAAGTGAACCCCTGGCCACAGCCCCCCCTACAGTCCAGTTGGAGGGGGCAGAAGCAGCTTTCTTTCCCAGACAGCATACGGCAGCCAGAACAAAGCGGATGGACCGCGGCCTTGAACCAAGGGCCTTGGCCTGCCTGGCACAGCTGCTCATCTCAGTCTGCCACCTCCTTAGTAGAGCACTAGGGCAGATGCAGGTAGTCAGAACCCTCCAACTGGGCCTTGCTACGCACCCACACTGGAGTGGCTAGCCAGAGTCAGCTGACCCTTCACCCCTTGCAGTATAAACCCCTGACCCAATTAGGAGGGGTCCAAGCAACAAGGCTCAACCTTGTACCTAAGCCACTGCACCCTCGGCTTGTGCCTCTCCTGGCTCTCTGATGGATTCCTGACCTGGCTTGCCCGTGGGCCCTGTAGTTGGCCCGACCCTTTGGCTGCCTGACTCTACTCTGGTTTGATCTCCTGATACCTGACCTAGCTGGGCTCCTGACCCTGTGCTCTGCCCGACCGTCTGGATCTCTGACTCGGTTCCCCTGACAGAGACGATGCGTAGGGGGTGCACATGCACCCCCTGACAGCAGCGTTCCCTGCTCAGGCGACGGGCAGGCAAGAGCGCTGGTGCCCTGCCCGCCCCCTCCCTCGAAACCACCAGCCCAGGAGTGAGTGCCAGGAGAAGCGATCCCTGTGGTTCCCCCCGTGGCTGACTGCGCCAAGTGGAAGGGGAGCGGTTCTCCCGTGGCCAATTATGTTAGCAGTTCCACGTTGGCGTGATGGGCTGTAGGGGGACACCTTCCCTGGTTGCTGACTGGCCACTGGGGGGCAAGTGCCCGCCCCGCCCCGATTCAGGAGGCTCCCGTCACCCATCTCTCCTC